ATCTGAGGAACCTACAGATACACCACACATTGACCAGCTAGGCTGGAGGTAATTTCTTTAAGGCATGTGCTTTACCATGAATGTCTGGTGGGAGACCATGACTTCAGGCTTCCCTGAGCATGTAACTGAGTATGACATTTGTGAACCCCAGAAATTGTGTCAAAGTGAAACTTGAACCCACTGATGTGACTCTCATGTCAGTTTTGAGTTATCATGTGAGGACCAAGAGCCTCGTCACAGCCTTGGATATAGTGCATAGTAAGGATTGACCTGCAAGAGGTGAACTGGACCTGCTTTGGGGCTGAGGCTATGGTTCCTAATCTATGTTGCTCTAAATGAATCCAGTGCTAAATGTGCTCTATGATTTTTACATGACTCTGAAAGACTCAAAATAAAAAAAAAAAACCTGGCAAGGGATGAGGGGAAGGGCATGCACTGGGAGATGGCTTAGTGTTGAAAGCATCTTCCTTGCAAGCATCTTCCATACAAGCATGGGCCTTAAATTTGATCCTCAGTGCTACCTTCATGTGCCAAGTACACTTCTGGCATCTCTACTGTTTGTAGCTGGGGACTCTGCTGCCTACAACCCCTGGTGACTCTACTATAGCCAGATAGAGTGTATCTACCATAGCTAGAGGGTACATCTCCCAGAAGTACCACGACTAGACAGGCAGGCACCACAGCCAGGAATGAGAGTCTCTCTCGGTGAACACATATGTGAGCTGAGAACCTCAGCAAACCCCGGGTAGCACAATAATTAGAATGTATTTGAGCACCACATGAGAAAGTTGTGGAACCCCCAGTGGGCGTGGAGACCTCACCCAGAACCCTGGTGTTTAACATAACCAGAGGCGACACTACCACAGACAGATGTGTGTGTGACCCCTGGTCATCACAACAGCAACACAAGGAAGGGAAGGGGGAACATAGTTCCCTGGTGGACCTTACAGAGTCACTCGTTCTCCTTTGCAGACATTCCCTTCTTCACAGGCACATGTGGAATGCTTTGTTTTCCCTCCCCTAGCCAGAGCCCTGCAGAGATGTGCTGCCACATGAACTCCACCCCCAGTACCTCTTTTATCACTACCTATCACAGCCATCGCAAGACTATGTCCTCGGCAAGCTCTGTCCAGATCACACACTACTCCCTCTTACATGGAGCCTCCCAGCATTTCTTCCTGGGAGCAGCCTGTCCTGGAAGAATGCTGACCTGTGGGTGCTACAATGCAGCCCGAAACAAGTCCCTTAGTCTCAGAATTTCAGCCTCTAAAAAACAGGAAGATGAATGGGTGCCCCCAGAGACATGCAATGCAACTGAATTAGCTCCAGCAACAATTGATAACAGTAACAACATTTGTTATAGGCGAGAGCATCTAAATATCAACTATACAACTACCTCAGGTTGGCACCCAAAACCATGGGAGCCCTCTTTGTTCCCCTGTTATCCAGTGGCTATTTCCAGCAGACAGTGACTTGTCCAAGGGTAGGGCATGGTGACGCTGGATATCCTGGGAAACTCTCTTTTTGCTAAAAACTGGGACAGGAGGAAAACCATGAGGAAACCTACATCATTAGCATCTCTGCTTCTCCCCAAAATGGAGTGATTGAGTGTCACAAGGAGCAGAAGCACTGGAGAGATGCAGAAGTGGACTGGGGGAGGTGGGCCACTAAGGAGGTAGGTACTGGGGAAAAGAGACAGAGGAGATGGTGCCGCCGAGCCTTGATCCAAGGGAAGACTCCAAAAGCAGGAGAAGCCAGAGCACCAGGCAGGCAGGGGGAAGGAGAGAGGTTCTCAGGGGGCTCAGAGCCATGGGGAGCAAGGCCTATTGGCGGGGTTTTCTCCTGTGAGTGGGCCAGGTGCACTCCGTGTGGCAGATGGCATCCCATCACTGGCGCTGCAGGACTCTGATGCAGGAGGGAAGGCAGAAAAACACTAGACTGACAGTCGGTAGACTACTGCTCTCGTCCCAGCTGAATAACCTTGAGTAGATCACTCCCCTACTCTGGAACTTTAAAAAGAGGGGGTTGGTTTTGTTTTTGCAACGTTAAAAAGAGGTGGTTGGTGGGCCGGAGCGATAGCACAGCGGGTAGGGCATTTGCCTTGCACGCGACTGACCCAGGTTCAATCCCCGCCATCCCATATGGTCTCCCGGCACCGCCAGGAGTAATTCCTGAGTGAAGAGCCAGGAGTAATCCCTGAACATTGCTGTGTGAGACCCAAAAAGCCAAAAAAAAAAAAAAGAGGTGGTTGGGTCAGGGCAATAGTATAAAGGGTAGCGGGTAGCTCACTCGCCTTGCTCATATTCAACCTGGTATCCTGTATGGTGCCATGAGCACTGAGCATTGCTGGGTGTGGCCTATGCATCCCACAATAAACAAGGGAATTTGTACTGGCTGGCTGTGCAGTGTGCAGTCTCTTCCATGTGCAAATCTTCGTCGATCTAGGACGTCCTGAGTTGTAGGTGGTAGTTATGCTCTCTTCTCTAATCCTCACTCCCCTCAATCGAGAAGGACTGAATTTCCCATAGGTGTTGCGCTTGCAGGTGACTTACATTGGCCAAAGGAACAGTGTGTCAGCACTGGCCAGAAGCTTTGAGAAGCATTTCTCCTTTCCACCAGACTTCTGTGCTCAGTTGGAAGATTATTCCCTACTAACGTTTGCTCCTGTAGCCTGGACTCCAGCACAATAAGAAACCCAGGGCAAGACTGAAGTCAGTGCACATTCAGAAGCTAAGCTCAGCCAAATCCAGTAGAGCTGCAGCTTTCTTGCAGATCTATGAATGGGAAGTAAATGCTTCCTGTTGTGTGCCCCTGCAATCGGGGGGTTGTTCCTTACTGCAGCTAAGGCTGACTAATCCACCACGTACCAGGAAAGCTTGGCTTTTAACCAGGCACATCCAGGACCAATCACCGGCCTGGCTGAAGGGTAATGAAGGGCAGCTGGAAGGGCCCCAACAGAATGGTCTTCCACTGCTTGGCCCTTCATGCCAGAGCCGTATGCCTCCATATGGAGACACACCTGGGACTTGGCATCAATAACCCAGGCCTCAGCGGGAATAGGAAAGGAATGAGATAGGAGGGAGAATTGCATCAGAATTTCTCAAAGTCAAGTTCTTTCCCATTCCCAGTCCTTCACACTAGAACACTCTGTTTCCTCACTGTCCAGGTGTCAAAATGAAAAGGCACTTAAGCTTGGGGGTCAATATATTCGTTTAGCTAATGTAAAGGGGCTTCAAGAAACTTAGGCAAATTTACAAGTTCCAACATCACTGGTCTTGCTGGCTTCTGTGGTATGTATGCAAGGCTCTGGGTCTCTCTGTTTCTAACAATACAGAACCCCCAAAGAAATCCATGTTCACAGCATCCCATTTATAACTAATAGATGCTTTTTGGCCAAACATATCAGAACAGTGTACTGTAACACTGTAGCACTGTCCTCCTGTTGTTCATTGATTTGCTCTAGCAGGCACCAGTAACGTCTCCATTGTGAGACTTGTTGTTACTGTTTTTGGCATATCGAATATGTCACAGGGATCTTGCCAGGCCCTTCTGTGCGAGCGGGATACTCTCGGCAGCTTGCCGGGCTCTCCAAGAGGGATGGAGGAATTGAACCCTGTGTGCAAGGCAAACGCCCTACCCACTATGCTATCACTGCAGCCCCAGAACAGCATATTTGATATAATTATACAAACTAATGCCCAGAGAAGACAAGTGTGGGACTCTCTGTCCTCAATGCTGCTGCCTAGGGAATAACCTGAGTGTAACCTGATTCAGTGTGTGACCAGGGCTTAAGCATGCTTCATCTCACTTGAAAAATCCAGGATGGTTCCCCACTGCCTCAGTCACTTGAACCAAGATTTCTGAATTGGCAGCCACACTTCTCTACTGGGGCAAACAAAAAGATCTTATCCTCTACCTAACAGAAGGCAGGCAGGCAGGCAGAACACTGATGTGCGAATGAGGTAAGGAACAAGCAAGAAGTAGAGTGATAGGCTTCTAAAAGGTAAAAAAAAGGTAAAGGTAAAGGCCCTCCCGTTGATCATCGATTTGCTCGAGCGGGCCCAGTAATGTCTCCATTGGAGACTTTGTTGTTACTGTGTTTGGCATGCTCTGCCGTGCAGGCGAGATACTCTCGGTAGCTTGCCGGGCTCTCCGAGATAGGCTTCTAACTTGTATTAAATCCCCAAACCATTTAAATAGAATCTGGATGTGTAAGTCAATTAAAAAAAATACAGATGCTCAGAGTGAAGCAGAGGTAAAGCCGAGTATAGGTCTTTCTGGGCATCATTCCATGTTCCACTCCCAAAGGTGGTGTCTGGAACTGTGTATGCAGCCCCAAGCCCCAAGAGAGTTTGAGAGGGGGAAAAAAAAAACAACCAAAAACATGAGGCTAGAGAAATCTTGAATAGGTGTATAAAAAGCTGGGAAAAAAAAGAGGGAGGTGGTACTTGGATGGCTATATCTGTAGAAAGAAGGAAATGAGGGGTTGGAGAGATAGAACAGCGGGTAGGCTATTGCCTTGCCTGTCACTGACATGGGTTCAATCCCTGGCACCATACGGTCCTCAGAACACCGCCTGGATTCCCGAGCGCAGAGCCAGGAGCATTAGCCCTTAGCATTGTCAGGTGTGGCCACAAGACAAACAAAAGAAATGAAATAATGAAATGGCTTTCCTTCTCCTTTTGCCTGAGAAGTTAAGAGTTCCCAACAGAAAAGACAGCTTCTATATTGTGTGTGAGGCCGATAGATTGACCCACAAACATTTCTCAAAATTTCCTAGAAACAAGCTTCTTTATCCTTATCTCCAACTGGAAAGATATATTTACTCAAAGATTTATATTTTCTTTATCATCTTCCCCCTTCACTCCTTAAATCTAAGCCACTAGCCCTGCCTAAACTCAGAAACCTGGTGCCATATTGGCTTTGGCCTTGGGGGCTTCAGCTAACGCATCAACATGTGGCTTCCAGTTTCCATGGACACAAGTTTCCAGCAGACCCACCTATGCACACCACGTCCATGAATCCATACATCCCGTAGCAGATCTGGAACAGGAGGTCTTGGCGCTGCCACTTTGCAGAGGGACTGAAGGTTGACCAGATGAGCCACGAGATACTGGCGATGAGGAAGAGGGAACCCAAAATGGCAGCAGCAATTTGTACTTTCTCAATGACTGTCAGAGAGATGGCCTGCCACTGGGGAAGAGAGAATGACAGGTTAGTTGCTGCTTGCACGCCCTCACTCCGGTCCCGGCCCATTTCTCTCCCTCTTTCTTCTGCTGTTTGAACCACTCATCTCAGGCCTCATAATAAAACCAGGCTTCTCCAGAGGCTGCAAGATAGCATAGCAGTTAGGGTGCATGCCTAGCATGTGTTCAATTTGAGTACTAGTCCTGGCACCAGTGGTCTCCAGAGCATCACAGGAGGCAGCCTTAGAGGCCTCTGGGCACTTTTGGATTGACCCTGGAAGCCCCCAGCACCATCAGGGTAACCCAGGTGGCCCCAGCACCATGGCCCCAGCACCACAGGGCCCAAGCAGCATTGCATTCCTTCACCTTTGTATTGATCAGTCAATCTAATTGGACCAGAATTATTGATGGAACCACCAGACCTCCTGATCATCACTTGTGAGACCCTCCCCCAAAATGTCATTCTGGTTTGTCACTGTCACTGTCCTCCCGTTGTTCATCGATTTGCTCGAGCGGGCCCAGTAACGTCTCCATTGTGGTACTTTGTTGTTACTGTGTTTGGCATATAGAATAAGTCATGGGTAGCTTGCCAGGCTCTGCCGTGCGGGCGAGATACTCTCGGTAGCTTGCAGGGCTCTCCGAGAGGGGCGGAGGAATCGAACTTGGGTCAGCCATGTTGGCTGTGTGGAAGGCACACACCTTACCCGCTGTGCTATCGCTCCAGCCCATAAAAATGGATTTTTTTTATATATATTTCTGACTCTTTTTACAATGTAGTTTTGATGCAGAGGAAACCCAATCATGTCAAATAATTCGAAGTCATTGTAGGGAGGACGGTATGGGCAGCGTGGCTGAGAAGGAAGGTCTTTCCAGTTGATTATAAGACAGAGAAATATAAAAGGGAAAGGAGAATGCAGAACCTTTGTGTGGGTGGTATTCTGGGACCCAGAATATTCTTTTAAGAGCAACACTGTTTATTTTTACTTTAATAGGTACTGAGAGGGCACAGGCCTTTCTATTGCTTGTTTTCTACAACACCTGGCATGTCATTTAATATTCATCCTAGAGATTACCAATTTAACAGATGAGAAGAGGAAACAGGATGTGGAAGAGAGATAAGAAAAACAGTATAATTTACTGAATGTATATGAACACTGAGACTCCATTTGTTTTCCACAGAAACAATCCTATACATAATAACAAGTCTGATGGATGGGTTGAAGGCTGGAGTGTGGGTGAATTTCGTCACTGAAATTCTATGGATCTATGTTACTCTAGGTAACAATGACACAAATAACTCTGGAGCTGTACTTGAGTTTGGGATTTATTCAGACATTGACTCAACAAATATATACTGAGTATGCTCTATGTGCCAGTTCCTCTGTTAGATGCTAGAGATAAAGTCACAAGCAAAAGCCTACAAGACTTATGTCCTTGGAAACGTTCAAAATAAAGACAATTATAAAAATTTTTTTTCTACAACTGGATGCATAAGGAGTAGAAAGGGAGGCATGGTGACAACCTATAATGGGGTGGTTTGACTTCTCAGGGAAAGCAATACTTGAACAGAGTATAGTTTACAGCACAACGAGCTCCAGGCAGAAGGAGGAGCATGTACAAAGGCCTTGTGGCAGATGTAAGCATAGTAAACACAAGCTCTTAGAAGAAGATTTTGGATGTAGCAGAGACAGCCAAGGGAGCATGGGTGACACTTCTGGGAGAGAAGACAAATAATCTTGAAGAACATTCATACATTTTTTTTTCAGTTTTAAGCAAGGAAGAAACAGGATTAGATTTGGGAGGTGGAGGGGAGGATAATCTCTGTATAATGCTCTCCAGAGAATCTCCAGGGAAGGCGTTGGAGCTAATCTCCTTAGAAAGGATGGGCTTTCTTCTCTCTGCCAACAAAGAGGCCCATGACATGATGGCCTGCATGGAAACACTGGCTGTTTCCAGCCAGGGCTGACCTAGGGCCTTGATGAGACTGTAACTATTAGAAACTACTTCACTTGCTAGTAGAGATGTAGGACATCCTCCTTTACTTTAAATTATACAGATAGCATCCCATTACAGGTAAGTGAGTCTTCAAATTTTCCACTTCTTCCCTCAGTCTAGAGTTACACAAAACAAAGGAATTTTCCAGAAGATGGAAAGAGTCCTCTCCAATACAACAAATGCTTTTGCCAGAGGCTGTCTCCCTGTTAGGAGGGCTCCTGAATGAGCTTTTAGTTTCTACCAATGAGTCATAAATAATCCTCATGTTCTACTACTCCGGACTTCAAAATTCCCAAACAGAGAAGCAAGAAAGAGTAACTTAATACCCAAAGTCCTTCCCTACAAACCCCAAGCTACCTGCAGAACCTATCCAGGAATCGTGGTTACAATTTGAAGCATGAAGAAGGAATGATTTGGGAGTCCTTCAAATAGGCTCTCCTGTCGGTTCTCTAAGAGCCTTCCCAAGAGGTATGGGGTAAAGGAGAAGACAGAGAACAAGAGCGCCCTGAAATCTCCCCATGAGGTTGGCACAGGGTAAAAGTGCTCCTGCCGCACCAGGCTTGACTACCAGCAGCAGACATGGAAGCATCTTTCCCAGGAAGAAGCTGATCTCAGTATCACTAGACAGACTTCCAGTTTCCAATGACCTGACTTCCAGGTCTGAGGTTCTGGTGTGGGCAGACAAGACAGAAGAGCTGGAGTTCTACCTGATACGCAGAGGAGACCTGAAGAAGAGCTCTGGAGCTTCAATCCTAGGCCACCCAGCAGAATATGATCTAAAAGTCAATCACGGTATCACAGTCCTCCCGTTGTTCATTGATTTGCTCGAGCGGGCCCAGTAATGTCTCCATCATGAGACTTGTTGTTACTGTGTTTGGCATATTGAGTATGTCACGGGTAGCTTGCCAGGCTCTGCCATGTGGGCAAGATACTCTCAGTAGCTTGCCGGGCTCTCCGAGAGGGGCAGAGGGGCGGAGGAATCGAACTCGAGTCGGCCATGTTGGCTGCGTGCAAGGCAAATGCCCTACCGCTGTGCTATCGCTCCAGCCCCCTGAAAGTCAATAAATCATAAAAACTCAATTTTACCATCTTCAAAAATGGAAAAATTGAACCTTCTTGCTTCCTAAGTATTATAAAGTTTAGATGAAATAACTATTATTTGTGGGAGGGAGGGTTCCCACACCTGGCGATGCTCAGGGGTTATTCCTGGCTCTGTAGTCAAGAATTACTCCAGGTAGTGCTTGGGGAACCATATGAGATCATATGAGATGCCGGAGATTGAACTCTGGTCAGCCATGTGTAAGGCAAGCATTCTATCTGCTGTACTATACTCCCAGCCATGAAATAATGCTGTAATTGGTGCTGTGAAGGGTCATAGATTCCATCTATCATTATGTTTTAGCAAAAAAAAAAGGTATGTTTGTTAAACTGGGATTATTCTCAAATGCACTCAGAAACTCTGCCTATACATGAACACGTAGAAAGTGATGACTTCAAACTCAATACAGTGTATGAAACCCTTTGCACCTCGGTCAAATTGCTTACTCATTCTCTCTTCCTCTCTTTCTCTCTCTTTCATATTTGAATGTGGTCCATGTAAAACTCCAGTGTCTAAAACAAAATGATAGATAGACCCCACCTACCACCTTCACCAAATCACCCATTCCTGGTCCTTGCAGAATTATCTCCTTTCACGCCAGATAGTCATGCAGCTGGGCCATGCAGTTCCAATTTTCACTGACACACTAATGGATAACGTGGCAGTTTAATTTATTAATTGATACATACAGTTTAACTGATACATATGTGGAGACATTTGCAGAAGCCTCGTGCTCTTTTATATGTACCTTATAGGGAGAGCTGTTGGATTTGGAGGATTTATGAGGTTATGCAGGACCTGCAAGCTTTTGGGGGGGGGGTGGTGATGGATATGTCCAGAGGCAGTGGGAGGAGTGATAGAAAGGTAGAAGAAACCCCCCATTCTGAGGGGTCCATCCCTATCTGTTAGGCAGAACCCCTCCCCTCCACCCACCCCGGGTCTCTTTTTTTTTTTTGTGAAACATGAGGTACAGTTGTAGACTTACAAGTTGTTGTGCTTGGGTTCCAGTTATACAATGATCAAATACCCATCCCACCACCAGTGCCCATTCTCCACCCCCACCAATCCCAGTATCCCTCCCACCCCTCCCATCCCCCATCCCACCCTGCCTCTGTGGCAGGGCACTCCCTTTTGTTCTATCTCTCCTTTTGGTGCTGTGGTCTGCAGAAGAGACATTGGGTGGCAATCATGTTCTGTCTATAGACTACTTTCAGCATGCATCTCCAATCCTGGGCAGATCTTCCCAACACCCTTTATTTGGTGCTCCCTTCTCTATCTGAGCTGCCTTTGCTCCTACAGTGTGTGGCTGGCTTCTAAGCCATGGAATGAACAACCTGGCATTTATCACAGCTGCTCTTGGGTGTTAGAGTCTCTTATTTTGTTACTTTATGTTATCCAGATGAATGCACTCTTTCTATGTCTGTTTCTCTCTTTCTGACTCATTTTGCTTAGTATGATATTTTCCATGTAGTACCACTTGTATGTAAATTTCATGACTTCATTTTTTCTAACTGCTACGTAGTACTCCATTGTGTAGATGTACCAAAGTTTCTTAAACCAGTCATCTATTCTTGGGCACTCAGGTTTTTTCCATATTCTAGCTATTGTAAACAGTGCTGCAATGAACAAAAAAGTGCAGATGTCACTTCGACTATACTTTTTTGCCTCTCTGGGGTATATTCCCAGGAGTGGTATTGCTGGGCCAAATGGGAGCTCAATTTCTAATTTTTTACTGTTTTCCAAAAGGGTTGAACCCGTCGACATTCCCACCAGCAGTGAAAGAGGGTCCCTTTCTCACCACATCCGCGCCAACACAGGTTGCTTTTGTTCTTTTGAATGTGCAGCCCGGGTCTTCTTGACCTCTATAAGTGATCTATCTTATTACCCAACCTTCTTTTGTCTTCTCCATTTTACTCTGGTTCCTTGACACCAGAAAATATGGTCCCTGGATCAGCATCATCAGTTATCAGAAATGCAGGATTTGAGGTGTGGCTCCACTCCAGACTCATAAACTGAGTATACATTTAACGAGATCTCAGGTGAATTATACTCACATTAAAGTTGGGGAAGCTCCAGTGAGTCTCCTCTCTCTTTATCCTTTTTTGTACCCTTAGCTTCGTGTATCTTTTCCTTGTCCATCCTACTGTCTTTTATTTTTCCTTCTCTTTTCTCCCCTCTAATGTGTTTTCTCCCTCCTTCAGGGCTCTTCTTACTTCCCTTTCCTTTCTACTTTCACCCATCCATTACCCATCCCCCACCTATCCACTTACTAACTAACTGACTTATTTTCTCTTCCATCCGCTTCTCTACACTCACATCCTTCTCTACCTATTGCTCTCTTTTCCCCCCATCCCTTCATTGCCTCCTACAAGGAACCGAACATTCTTTTATCCTTTCCTTCCTGCATGCCATCTGTTGTCTTGCCTTTCTGGAAGTCAGCCTGGCCCCTTGGAAAGCAGGCGGAGTGGGAAGGCCTGTAACCCAGCCTCCCCTGGGGCCAGCCCCCACTGTACCTGCAGAGGATTCTTTGTGCTTATGGCGATGACGTGGTACTTGTAGTAGCAGAGTTCGCAGCTCCAGCAGCCCCTCTCGCTGATCCACTTGATGAGGCAGGGCTGGTGCGTGCACTTGACTGAGCCGTCGCACCGGCATGGGCTCAGCAGCTCCCCCTGCAGGAAGAGACACAGTGGTGAGTGCTGGAAACCGCCAGGTGTGCGGATGAGTTGGAGAGCTGCTGGCAGTAAGGCTTCCCCCATTGGAACCTTCTTTGGGAATAGCAGACCTCCTAGAGGGGTAAAGGTAAAGGTAAAGGTAAAGGCCCTCCCATTGATCGTCGATTTGCTCGAGCGGGCCCAGTAACGTCTCCATTGGAGACCTTGTTGTTACTGTGTCTGGCATATCGAATACTCTCGGTAGCTTGCCGGGCTCTCCGAGAGGGGCGGAGGAATCGAACTCGGGTCGGCCATGTTGGCCGCTTGTAAGGCGAACGCCCTACCCGCTGTGCTATCGCTCCAACCCAAAGTTGATAATTTTTTTTTTTGGCTTTTTGGTTCACACCTGGCAATGCACAGGGGTTACTCCTGGCTCTGTGCTCAGCAATTATCCCTGGAGGTGCTCAGGGGACCATATGGGATGCTGGGAATTGAACCCGGGTCGGCCGCGTGCAAGGCAAATGCCCTACCCGCTGTGCTATTGCTCCAGCCCCTAGAGGGGAAGAAACGAAATCTAATCTTCTACCGTCAGAGTCAGGCAATTTCAACTAAGAGTTCTGAATCCAGTCCCAGCTTCCACTTGGTGCTGGACGAGTCTAGGGTTTCTGTTAAAAAAATAAGTGGATTGATTTCTCCAAAAGCCCTCGGCCATACAGCAATTAGGCTTGATCTCAGGCATCACATAGTATGCGGAGCAAGGCCGGGAGCAGCCACACCATCCCCACCCCATCCCCCCAACACAGATGTCTGCCTCCCCCCATACAGGAATGAAGGAAGGAAGGAAGGAAGGAAGGAAGGAGGAAGGGAGAAAGAAAGAAAGAAAGAAAGAAAGAAAGAAAGAAAGATAACAATGAGCCTGCTAACCTCCATACACTTTTAAAGGTGTAGCGGTCACACACAAGTACCCTCAGAGCCAGGCAGGCAACACAGACACCAACTGTGAATTTGGGAGTTGGGGGACACAGAGAGAACTGGAGAGCCCAGACTCGCACCTCCCCTCATGAAAGAGACAGCCACCATCAGTTGCAAACAGCTGTAAATGAGACAATTCTTATGTAAAAATTCCCTCAATAGCCCAATACTAGTGATGAGTACAGATTTTCTAAATAGATCAATACTATATCAATCAATAGATCTAAATACTTTGCCTGAGATTGGCACTATGCTCTTGAGCCTTTCACACTTAGGCAGACAAGCATGAGGGGATACATGCCCCCTCTGTGAAGCAGTGACCAGGTCACAGCAGGTGAGAGCCAATCTCACTTCGGGGACCGAGGAGGTTGGCCAAGTCCCCATAGGTCTGGAAGCAGGAGACAAAGGCCTTGTTTCAGGTAGGTGGCTGCAGGACTTGAAGCCCCTCGCAAGTGACAGCAGAGTCAGGCTCTGTCTACAGAGCACCCTGTGACTATATGTCACATGATCTGCTCTGAGGCCTGCCTCTACTTCCTGCCTAGTCTGCCCCATGGTGCCTATGAGCATCCCTATACCTCCCTCTCTCTCTGTTCTCTACATATGCTCGCTTTCTCCCTCCTCACTCAGCGTCCTTCAATCCTACTTGCTAAATCCCATGCACTCAACTCCTTCATTGACCTTCATAGAAAGTTGAGCAACTGAGTGTATATTGTCCCCTGCCTGTGCTCCTTTGTAACCTGTCCCATGACCATTCCTTTCTTCCTCCCTTACCTGAATCTATCCTTCTATCTCTCTCTTACCAAAGGACACAGGAGCTGACACACACAGCCCAGATTCAAGAATCCTATGTTGATTTGTTCATAAAGCGGCCACTTGGACCACAGTCCTGTCAACTGGGGGATGTTGGCATTCAAACCACCACATTTTGCCCCCAATTTGGAGTGAGTAAGCACAAGAGCTCCTGACTTGTAAGTTACAAGATCCACTGGTAAATTTAGTTATATGCTTTGCTGTAAACCAAAGATGTTTCCTTCTAAAGATGCTTGGAATTGATCTCAGCTCACTCTTGATATCTATACTACTGAGATCTAGAATTTCCTTTTGTATCTGGTCTACCTGCAGTACTTCTTTCCACAATGGCTCCAGTGCCACCTCCTACAGGGAGTTGCCCCTGACTTCTTGGTTGAACTCAGGACTTTGATCTGAGTGCCTTGTGTGAATGGCCTTGCATTGTGTTTCATTGAGAGCAATGTTTCTCAACTTTTTCCTACCATGGTCCCTTTATGACCTTATTTCCTTCCTGTGCATCCCTCCATCCTACCAGTCAGGCCCCTAGTCTCATGCCCTTTATGTGGTTTCTACCTGTGGTCCCTTTGTTTGACAAGCCCTGAGCTAGGGCACTCAGTAATACTGATAGGGACCTATGCATGTGCCATCTACCTGTAAGAAGATCTCTGGAAAGCAGGAATGAAGGAACACTTATCTTTATATCTCCCAAATTGCCTAATCTGCTCCCAGAAGGCCCTCAGCAACCTTTGCATTTGAATGTGTAAATCACACAACTAAATCACTTGTACTTTCTAAGGAGTACGATAAGACTGCCCCCAGTCCATAAAAATAGGAACCACACCCCATCTTGTTGACCTTGGGACCCCTGCATCTTGTTCAGTGCCCAACACTTCCATGTATATCTGCAATGAATAAACTTCGTGGCAGAAATGCTCGAGTCCAGAATTCCCATGAAAATATCTCTGGCTCTCCAACTGGTTCTTCCATAGTGAGTGGTGCCTTCACCGTGGCTCCGGGCACTTTCCCATCCAGATGTCATCATCTCAGCCTCCACAGACAGTCTTCTTTGTCATAAGACTATCCCCACTTGTGCCTGGGTCACTATAATGATAACCTCTTGCAAGGACAATATCTCATCTCTCTGCAGCCACAGCATGCAGTTCAGTGCCTGAAACAGTGAGACTTTTCCTGCAATGTGGCGAGCAGAATATATACCTACTGGTTTGATGAAGGAAGTAGCCAGCCTTGGGCTCCTGGAGGGGAGATATGGAGCCCGGAAGAGAGAAGAGGCAGCAAGAGATGCTTGCCTGCAGGGCACTCAGCACACTCAGCAAGGCTTAATATTCTTGGCATTGAGGAAGGGCTATGTTTCCTGTTTCCAAGAAAGAAGCAGGAGGAGCCGATGGATAGGGGTGCCAGGGGGAGGAGCTAAAGCCCTCATTATTCATGGCCATATTTCCTAGGCTCATTAATTCTAACAGGATGAGCTGGGTTTGATTAATCGGGTTGTTAAGCAACCATGTCAAATTGCCGATCAGGTAGGAGACATGACTTCTGGTTCCCGGCAACGGTGCCTAGCGACTGTGAGGGTGAGGGTGTTCCTTCCCTCCACAGTCACAGTCTCCAGGCATGACAGGAGGGCTGCTGGAAGACTTCACTGATTGCAAGACCTGGACCCTTCACTAGGGGTTCTGGTGGAAGTGGGGTTCACTGGAGCCCCTGATCTTCAAATACTTAACTGAACAAAGGATCTTCAAATCTGGACCAAGAGCCCTGAGGTCACAGATGGACAGCTCTTTTTTCAGTCCCCAGTACTATTCCTTGGGTCTGAACAACCCCAAAGACAGAAACTGAATTTGTCTTGGGGGCCACCAATCATAGAAAGCTGTTTTAAAACCTCCTCCTCCTCCCCCTTCCCCCCCTCCTCCTCCGTTTCTGGACCACACACCACTGCATTCAGGATTTACTTCTGACTCTGAACTCAGGAATCACTCCTGGTGAGCTTGGGAGACCAGATGGAGTGACGGGGATTAGATTCAGGCAAATGCCCTACCTGTTATACGCTCTTTCCAGCCCCAGAAAAGTTCATTTTGATAAAAGAAGTGACTCAGATGCTTCCTCCATGATCTGTTCAGAGCTTTGGGGGCCAGGGACCATGCTGGCAATGACTCAGGCAAGAATAATCAGCTCCTTCCTAATGCCTCAGCAGGTGGGAGGAAGGGCCAAGGATGGACTCTCCCCACTGTTGGTGACGCAGCAAACTGCAGCCCCAAGATCCCAGTCATTTATCCATTCATAGATTTCTTTCTGTTTATTTGGGATTTGCTCCATGATTCTCCTTCTGACCCCCCTACCCCCAAATCTGAAATTTTAGAAAAGTACGACTAGTGCAGAAATAAGCCATTTTAACTTTGATATTCAGGCAAGTTTTGTATTTTATCCGTGTATTTTTACATCTATTTAAGAAAGGGGCATTACCTTTTTCTGTTTCGAGTTTCACCATCTTTAACTGGTTGGACCTACACTCTATGAATGATAAAAAAAAAGGTGGAAATGAGTCATCAGTCAGCTGGAGTTCAGGTGAGACACTGTGAAGATGTTCATTGTCAAAAGCAAAACTGAAAGAATGTGGAAAAAGAGATGGAATTGCATCTCTGTAAGGGACCTGCATTGAAGAGAATGGGTAAAAGACCAGTTGAAGGTCACTCAGCCAGGCTCAATGGAAGGCAGCCTCTGTGTGTGTGTGTGTGTGTATGTTTGTGGGTTTGGAGTTTGGGACCACACTCAGTAGTACTCAGCAACTACTCCCAACTCAGTGCTCAAAGGACACTCCCGGCAGTGCCGGGGGTGGAGCAGGCAGTGCTGATGATTGAACCCACACCTCTTTCTGTCGCCAGACAGTTCTCATCAAACCTCTCTGCTTGAACCTTTTCTGCCACCTGAGCCCTTCTGTGCTCCTACCCTGTGCTCAGTGGTCCTTCCTGAGACTCTCCATCTCTAGATTCCATCCCTTTCCCAGCTCAGCCCCTCTGTCTAGTGGCCCAAACAGGCCAGCTCTCAGCCTTGCCTTCTCTTTCCAGATCCGCACTGAGTTAGGTCCTTAATCTTTAACTGTATCCTCTGGAATCGAGCTGCTCTCCTGTAACCTGCAAAGAACTAGACACACTGGGAGATGCACACTCAGAAATAAGCTTGCTGACCAGGTGGGCCCAGGTGTATGGGAGAGAATGAACCCTTCTGGCCAGGATCCTGAGGCT